CCCTTGGTAGAGTACTGTGGCGTCACAGCTCACAGCAGCCTCAAACTCTTGAGTTCAAGTGATTCTCTTGCCTCCGCCTTCTGATACAATACTCAGCTATGTTTAGAGACGAGGTCTTGCTCTGGCTCAGGCTGGTCTCGAACCCGTGAGCTCAGGCAGTCCACGGCTTTGCTAGGATTACAGGCATTAGCCACCATGCCTAGCTGCCTATTTTTATTCTTGCCTCACAGATGAGGAAACAGACTACCTATAGGTTAGGAACTTGCCCAGAGTCATACAGTTCATTGTTATCCCATAAGGATCTGAACACAAGAGCCTCTGACTCTTTTTTTGAAACAGAGCCTTACTATTGGCATGATACATAGTTCACAACCTCAAACTCTTGGGCTGGAGTGATCCCTCTACTGCAGCTGTCAGAGTAGCTGGGACAACAGGCTCCCGCCACAATGCTCAGCTAATTTTTCTGTTTTTAGTAGAGATGGGTCTCACTCTTCCTCAGGCTGGTCTTGAACTCCTGAGCTCAAGAAATCCATCCATCTCAGCCTCTCAGAATACTAGGATTACAGGTATTAACGACCACACCCAGGCAAGAATCTAAGTATGCTATATGCCTCTCTGGAAATATTATCCACATATATTACTCATCTCATTCTCCCAAACCCAATGAGAAAGATGGTAATATTATCTGCATTTTACAGATGAAGAAACTGAGGTTCAAGAGAAGTCATGTTGGCAAGACCAGGGTTTGAACTCAGATCTTGAACTGGGACTCAGTGCAGAGCCGTGTGCTCTGCAATGGGGTTGCCTGGAGTCCTGCCCAGGCCCGACCACCTCACCTGCTTATAGATGAGCTCAAAGGCTCCCGTGTTACAGTTGCGATCCAGCCTCCGGTCGATGACCACCCGCAGGGTGTCTGCTTGCACACCGGCACAGAGCTTGGTGGTGACAGCTGTGGAGGGTGCCATAGTGGGGCTGGCATTGATCTCGATCAGCCAAGGTTGGAAGTCCTCTCCAAACACAAAGTCAGCACCATAGAGCTCGAAGCTGGCCTTCCGACACTGCACAGTGTCTTGGGAGGTCTGAAGTGCATGGATCACGGCAGCCTTCATGCCAGGCACAATGATGGTAGACCAAGCGTTTGGGGCCCCCATCTCCTGCAAGTGGGCCTGGAACCTCTGGCTGGACCACATATTGTCTGAAGGCAGCAGTGGATGCCGAGAGCACGAGTTTTCCAGGTGCTTCTGAATGGAGTTGTTGCACAGGTGCACCGAGCTGGGGCAAAGAGCAGGAAGCTGAGGTCTGGCCCCTGTGCTTCTCTTGCCCAAATGCAGGCAGGAGATGCAACCCCAGACTGTTCAACTCGAGATAGGGCGCTACTAGGGGTAGGGGTGGGGTACAAAAAGGACAAAAGCCTGGGCCTCACCACATCCTTCTAGGGCCAGAACCAGTCTTTTCCCTTAAGACTCTTCCGAGGGCTCTAACTTCAGGGGCTACTGTATTAAGTGCTTTGTGTGTAGTTGCAGTTAACCCTCCCAGTGCTTGAAGATAAGCTGGGTAAGAGAATGGCCCTGTGGTCACCAAGACATGTTCAAGTCCCATCTTCACCATTAATTACTTGTGAGATCTTTTTTTTTTTTTTTTTTTTTAGACAGAGCCTCAAGCTGTTCCCCTGGGTAGAGTGCCGTGGCATTACAGCTCACAGCAACCTCCAACTCCTGGGCTCAAGCGAGTCTCCTGCCTCTGCCTCCCAAGTAGCTGGGACTACAGGCGCCCGCCACAACGCCCGGCTATTTTTTGGTTGCAGCCGTCATTGTTGTTTGGCGGGTCCGGGCTGGGGATTCGAACCCGCCACCTTAGGTGTACGTGGCTGGCGCCTTAGCCGGTTGAGCTATAGGTGCCGAGCCTACTTGTGAGATCTTAGGCAAGTCATCAACCTGTGCATTCCTTACATCTGTAAAATGTGGGTAAACAGCACCCACTTCATTATTTTTTGGGTTTTTTGTTTGTTTTAAAATAGAGTCTCATTCTATTGCCCAGGCTAGAGTGCCATGGCATCAGCCTAGTTCACAGCCAACCTCATCTGGGCTCAAGTGATCCTCCTATCTCAGCCTCCCAAGTAGCTGGGACTATAGGCACCCCCCAATGCCCAGCTAGTTTTTATTTTATATTTTTATTACTTTAATATAGTATTTATTTGCCAATTAAAAAATTTTTAGATTAGGCTTGGTGCCCGTAGCACAGTGGTTATGGCACTGGCCACATGCACCAAGGCTGGCAAGTTTGATGACAACTGCAACAAAAAAAAATAGCCGGGTGTTGTGGCAGACGCCTGTAGTCCCAGCTACGTGGGAGGCCCAGGCAAGAGAATCACTTAAGCCCAAGAGTTTGAAGTTGCTGTGAGGTGTGACACCATGGCATGCTACCCAGGTTGACATAGTGAGACTCTGTCTCAAAAAAAGAAAAAATTTTTTTAGATTAATATATAGGTACAAACAACTAGTTTTACTTTTTTTTAAACCTATTTTTAGTAGAGACAGGATCTAGCTCTTGCTCAGGCTGGTCTTGAACTCCTGAGCTCAAGCAATCCACCTGTCTTGGCCTCCCAGAGTACTGGGATTACAGGCAAGAGCCACTGTGCCCAGCCTGATTTTGTTTTTTGTTTTTTTTATTTTTGAGATAGGGTTCAGGTCTGTAGGCCGAACTACAATGCGGTGCAATGGTGTCATCACAGCTCACTGCCACCTCACATTCCTGGGCTCAAGTGATCCTCCCACGTCAGTCTGTTGAGTAGCAGGGACTACAGGCACATGCCACCACCCCTGGCTAATTTTTCTAATTTTTGTAGAGATAGGGTCTCAGTCTACTTAGGCTGGTCTTGAACAACTGGCCTTAAGTGACCCTCCTGTCTTGGCCTCCCACAGTGAGATTATAGGCATAAGCTATTGCTCCCAGCTCTTATTGGGTTTTATGAAGTAATATACACAAGTGAAGTAATAATTACGAGTGAGGTAATATACACAAAATGTTTTCCACCTATCATAAATGAAATAATAATTGATACCCATGAGTTTTACACTATTCCCTCAATGGATGCTTAAACATGTTTTCACTTGACCAAAGTCATACAACGTGGAAGGTGAAGAGATGGGATTTGAACCCAACAAACAGGCTTCAACAGGGCTTCCTCTCACCACCTCGAATTAATACCACATTCTGCCTTTATCCCGCTGAATTTTTTTTTTTTTTTGAGACAGAGCCTCAAGCTATCCCCCTGGGTAGAGTGCCAAGGCATCACGCTCACAGCAACCTCCAACTCCTGGGCTCAAGCGAGTCTCCTGCCTTAGCCTCCCAAATAGCTGGGACTACA